TATTTGTATGTGCAAATTCGTCCAGATCCAAACAAAAATCTGGATCTAGGGACTGTTGGTGTTTGGCAGACGAGAGGCTCTGAGTGCCATTTTAGAATGTGCAAAAAAAACATGATTAAATCAAATAACTAACTTTTGAACGCCATCTACTTCATCATACTGGTCTTGGATGTTTACCGTGCTCTGTTCAAGCCTCACACAACATAAAAGCAACGTTGCATGCATATACACACACAGGTGAGGCTGCCGGTTTAGCCACAAGTCACATGCCTGTACTATGTAATCATGTGGTTGCAGAGCAGACAGTGCGACAGCTTGTGTTTGCACACAGAGACAAATAAATGATGGGCTGATCAGACCAGAGCCGCCTCTGCACACAAGAGCTGCTCACATGAGCTGTGCACAGGGGTTACACAAGGCTGACGTTTAACAGGCGCGGAGGACATGCATTTGGTCTAAAATAATAAACAGTACAAGGTGATACAGTCACACTTCATTAATTTCTAAAAGAGGATTAAAGAGCAATAGATCATTCTTCTCAATAGCCTCTTATCCGCTCATTGTCCAATACAATTGCCTCTTGAAAGCGTTAATAGGCTTTGGAGCATGTTATTAGCTTCTCTATAGAAATGATTTGCAGTGAATGAATGCGTTTTTAATTGACATTGTAAATGAGACAAACGTCCGGGATCAGAGTCCAGACGTAGACTAGGTCTGTTTTTGTCAAGGATTTAGTTTTAATCCATGTCCAAGGATTTATCGCGAAAGATTTGAAGATTTCAGGGTCTTAGAAATAAATCTTGCAGTTATTTTGTTTGTTTTTGACTTTTGGCATATCTCTTCACGCAGTTCAAGGAGATGTCAAAGTCTTCATCAGAACTTTCTCTTTGAAACTTTATCAATACTGTATGAAATTACAGAGGAAGCACTCAGGTGTCCTTTTTGAACAAGTCAAACACACCCTGAGTTTTAGTGTCTGGTGTGTGTCGCTGTCAGGCTCTTGTGGAATAGTAGAGGCTCTGTAGAGAAACCTGCAACTCCACATACCTTCTGCATTGCCCTGAAACTGTTAATCAATTAGACACACACACACACACACATCATCTCGGACCCAGGGATACAGATTGGCAACATGTTAGTCACAGCTGAAGCTCGGATGTGTCATCTCATCGGTGTTTAAATAGCTGACATTACTCAGAAGTATAAAATGAGTCAGTGTATCATGGAACCTGTTACATTTGTGAAGTCGACTAAACTCCGGGATTACATAAACTGAAATTCATCCTTGTGGTATTTTGCTTTTCTTCACTATAGTCCGACCATCATTGACAGGCCTGGTTTCATAGCAGCAGCAGCAGCAGCAGCAGAATCTATGAACCAGGCTTCAGTGATGTTATCCGCAGCTTTGTCCTTAAAATCAATGGTGGGTTTCAAGTAAAAGTAAATCGTTATCAATTTCATTTGTTCTATTGGGTCCATTCTTCTTGGTTAAACAGGGATATTGATTCCACACAAATCTTGAGCTGACAACAAAGAATCAGTTGCACAAAAGGTAAAGACGACCCCTGTTCACCTCTGTCTCTGCAATCACCATTTAGTCATTTATTAGCGTAGTTTTGAATTTAACTAATTTTGTGTGTTGCACTGGTTTGCATTCCATCCTCTGAGCGGATGGAGATGGGGAGTGACGTATTTTGAGTTTTGACTTGTTCCTAATCTGTGTGTTCAGGGGCAGTCAACCTTTAAACACTATTCTTTGCTGCAGGGATGTGTTGTTCTGTCTGTCAAAGTAATTATGTTTGCATGAATCGCTGCACAAGGTGAAAGCAGCTAAACCAGAGTTCCGACAACAGTGAGCATAGTTGCTCGTAAATTACAGCCGTGTGTGCTGAGGAATAAAAATGCTGAAACATTAAGAACTTTAATCTTCTCTGGCAGTGATACTTAATAAATAATAGATGGATGTAAAATGTCTCTATCACACACCGATAGAGACGAGCGACCTACATAGTTATCTGTCACTTCCTTCATGTCCTATGTGCATGTCACAGCACTTCAATAAGCTAATGTGCATGTTAGCACACAAGGAGGATGTAGAGTTTCATTTTAAACCATTTGCATGCAGACAGAATGTGGTTTGGCTGATTGAAGATACCATGCAAATAGTTTCACTGAAATACCAACAGCATATGTCTCAGTTCAGGGGCTGCCCCGTTTAGAGGCTCCGAGCGAGAGCGCCATCAAAGAAAGCCTCTGTAGACCAGACTGTCTCATATCAGTTCCGCCTTAGTGGTCTACCTGACCCACAAAGCCCACCTGCCCACCGTCTGGGAAGACCACGTCCCCTGAAGGAGGCGGTCCTTGATATGCTTCCCTTCCCGACACAGAGTACTGATCCGATACCAGTAGATTTTAAAAAAGCTTTATGCTACTGACCCTGTTTGGAAATGACAACTGCTGTTATCGTTTCACATCCCTGTTTTACTTGTGAGACTCTCCAGCGCGAAATAGTCAAATTGACGACATTTTAGCTGTGGCTAACGCTACATTAACGGAAGTCACGTTCTTCTTGCAAGTTGCAGAAGAAGAAGTGATTTCCAGGAAAAGAAAAATTGCGTTATCTGGTTTTGAAATGTATTGGATGACCACGTAGATTTGCATCCACGCCAATGTCCCACCCAGACTTTCTATCTCTTAGTCACATCCTGTTGGACTTCATCCAAATGAGGACTTTCACATAGAGTTTTTTGTTTTTAGTCACAGGTGTCAGATGATGTAAGTTTACACAGTGAGAGGCTTTCAATGTTTCTAGGTATGTCCTGTCTCTTTACACGTAAACACACGTTACTTTGAGACACAGATAAGACTCATCCTCTTATATCCAGACACCGTCTCTACCTAAAAAACATAAGCTGATGTTCTCACACACTGCAGTGATCATTGAAAGGCTCAATATATATATTGTACAATGTGTAAGCACAGTGTGGAGGTTTAACACATAATTGTCTTTAACCTTAAAAGATAAAGATATCGACTGATATAAAGAATTTTATCTTGACATTGCAGCCATGCAGGGAAGTAATTCAAATACAGAAATGCACAAGTAATACAACACAGTTGCACAAGTAATACAACACAGTTGCAGTTTAAAAACAAAGTGTAATTCAAATGTACAGTTGATACGGTGCCAAGTATGAATAAAAACAACTGCCACTAGCGCTGCACCATCACAAGACGTGTGTGTGTGTCCTTGTGTGTAAAAGAATCAACTCTGCTTGTCGACACAAGTTTTCTGACCTGCAGAAAACGGTGTAGCGCCTCACGGCGGGTGGAGTTGTTGTGCGTGTTTGCTGTGCACACACATCCATGTCGTGCACGGCTGATGGAGCCAATGTTTGCTTGTCATTTAGCTTCCTGTTTCACCCAGGTGTGCAAAGGTAAAGTGCCCGTGTACATAAAGAGACCTTTGTGTCATGTGTTGATGTGATGACAGCCCATGATTAATAATGGAGCATCCCTCTGACTCTGAGGACCCTGCTCAGCCGCACACTGACGCCGACATCCCAGGAGTTCTTCACAATTCACTGTGAAGAATTGTTTTTTGGTAATAACGTCGTTTTTATCTTTATATAATTTCCTTTTTCCCTGATGTCATAATAAGACTCGTTCTATGCAGGACTCACCAAAGTGGAACGCTGCCTTAAGAAACACTAAGTCACTCTCTGCTCAGCCGGTTCTGTTCAACATTCCCTCAGCGCTGATTCACTGCTTTATAATGCTAAGCTGCATATTTTCCCTCTTTTTCAATGCGACTATCACAATACACAAACAGGATGCGGTTGTTTTCTCAATCTAATTACACGAATGCATTTTTTACATATTTGTGCTGCTTGTAAACTGATTGTGTTTCAGGCTCAACTAATTTCACATCTCTGTCCCTCTCAGTGCTGCTGAGCCCAACAACACAGCTGAGGATGCAGAGGCCTGGGCGGACAACGTCGCCTCGGACAGCAAGAAGTCGTCTCTCTATGCCACCGCGCCCAGGTCAAAGGTCTGTTCTCATTGCTGAGCTGCTCTCGTTATATTAGCGATTGTCTACCTTTTAAATTTCAACCAGCGCAGTCACACAGGAAGGATCTTTCACTGCTTCAGGATGAGATTGTGTAAATACAAAGTGTTGTTTCAGGCTACATGCCCACAAGGCTCTACCTGTGCATTCAAAATAGTCAAAATAATATCCACTTCACTGAAAGCTGATATGAAACTTTGCCTCAGGTGAGCAATGGAAGCCGAAACTGTAAAGTGTGAAACTGTGTTCTGCAGTCACACGTAAATTCCCACTTAAAATAATTGAATCGTTGAATCAACCAGTTTAAACAATGTCAGTTTTAGTTATTCACACTGACGGATATATAATCAAGCACTTTAACAACTTCAAGCTAACTTTAGTCTGAGTTTGCAAGAAAAGTTAAAATGTGCGACGAACAAGCATGTACTTTTGAGTATGTGTGTGTCATTGCTCTGATAGTTTTGTGTGAAGCTAAATAGACAAGAGCACTGAATCCAAAATACAACTAATAAAAAGGGCAGAGAAATTTAAAATTCAAGCAAATCGGGTACAACATTTATTTTTTATTTCCCAGCGAAGGTCAGCACTCCGGGGGGGTGGTTAGCAACAAGAAGTGGAAGTGTGTGGAGTTTGTCTATTGTTTATTTTGAGTGATGGTGAGCGTGTGTGTGTGTGTGTGTGTGTG